TCCATCCTTTCAGTTTTAATTTACGTAGGCATTATTTTTACCACAAGCTTCTTCTAAACAGTACCTAGTTAGGTCTTGGGTTTGAAAACACCTCATCTGATAATCTCTGGTTTTTAATGTTTTTTGGATGGTGCACTTGGAGCTGTGGCTCCCTAGGCCCCTCCCCTTCAGGGCGGGCTGGGATGGAAGCTTGGAGGAGGGGAGATTTTCAGTGCTAGGGCTGGAATGGGGCAGGGACTTCTGCAGCAAGGCTGCTCCCTCCCGTGGTCTTGCGGGGCCGTGGTCTGGGGGCACTCACTCATTGGAGACCATGTGGACCATTAGGTCCACCACCCTCTTGCTGCAGCCGAATTCACCGTCATACCGGGAATTGAGCTTGACACAATGGTCACTGAGGGCAGTGCCAGTCCCAACATCGAAGGTGGAAGAGTGGGTGTCAATGCTGAAGTTGCAGGAGACAACCTGGCCCTCGGGTTAGCCCAGGACGCCTTTTAGGGCCCTCCAACACCTCCTTCACCAGCTTCGTCATGTCTTGTATTTGCCTGCTTTCTCCAGTGGTGGGTCTGATCCATGACTGACGTGTTGGACGCTTCCCAGAGGGCCTGTCCACAGCCTTCTAGGGGCAGCGATGGCGGGGACTGTGGTCACGAGTCCCTCCACGATGCCGAAGGTGTCATGGATGACCTTGGCCGGGGGGAGGGGCTACGCAGTTGGTAGTGCAGGAAGCGTTGCTGACAATCGTGAAGGAGTTGTCTTATTTCGTGATTCACATCCATCACAAACAGGGGGACATCGGCAGAAGGGGCGGAGATGATGACCCTATTGGCTCCACCCTTCAAGTGAGCCCTGGCCTTCTCCGTGGTGGTGAAGACGCCAGTGGACCCCACCACATACTCATTACCAGCGTTGCCTCATTGATGGTGGTGGGATCTCGCTCCTGGAAGACGGGGCTGGCCTTTCTGTTGATGATCAGCTTCCAGTTCTCAGCCTTGACGGGGCTGTGGAGCTTGCCTTGGGTGGAGTCAGACCGGAACATGTAGACCATGTAGTTGAGATCAATGAACGGGTCACTGATGGCCACAACATGCATTTTGCCGGAGTTGAAAGCAGCCCTGGTGACCAGGCGCTCAGCCCAGCCAAACCTGTTCACTGCGACCTTCACCACTGTGTCTCGGGTTGCTGCTGGCACCATAGAGAGTAACTGCTGCAGAGAGTGTTCATTTTTGAGCCAGCGTCTGGCTCTGTAGTTCAGGCTGGCCCTTAATTCTCTACAAAGCTCAGGCTGGCCTCGAACTCGCTTCGATCCTCCTGCCTCAGTCTTCCGAGTGCTGAGATTTCAGTATATCCCCAGGAAGTTAGGGTTCAGAGTTCTCAGCCTCAGTGGTTCGGGGAGTTTTCCTTATAATTTAAGTAGTAATTGTTTGTGGAAACCCCCCGCAATTCGCAGAAACTGCAAATATCCTCTGCAATTGTTTTTTGGCGCAAGGTTTGCGTGTAGCCAGTCCGAGAGCATTATTCAGTATCCTTGCTGCTGATTGGCTGCTGCTCTGTAACCCTTCACTGGTATTCTCCTACATGAGAGGTTAGTGTATCGCCTGTAGTTACCTACAGTGTTCGCAGTTTTGTTCTTCTTAAAGCCCTAAGATCCCTAAGATTCGCTAAAATGCCCTACACCTTCTAAGGTTCCATTACTGCAGCATTTTATTAAATTACATAACTGCAGCAGACATAGATATTTAGGGTTTAAACTGTAAACATAGACATTATAGTCATTTTTCTGACCATATATGTCTAGAGTTTGCGGCTTTTCACAATTTGAGGGTGCTCTAGGAACGTAACCTCCATGAATTTTGGGGGGTCAGCTGTACAGTTGTGTGTCACTATGCCTGACAACTGGTGTTTTTATTTTTATTTATTTATTTTTGTCTTTTTGAGACAGGGTCTTGCTATGCAGTTCAGGCTGGTCTTGAGCTCACTTTGTATCCCAGGCTGGCCTTGGACTCACAACAATCCTCTTGCCTCAGCCTTCTGATGCTGGGATTACAGCCGTGCGCTGCCACATCTGGCTTAATTGGTGTTTTTACATTTAATATAATGTAAAAGACCATTTACATTTAATATAATTGTTGATTTGGTTGGGTTCAGTCTACCATATTATTACTTTCCAGGGCTGGAGATGGAACCTAGGACTTTATGCACTCTAGGCAAGGGCTCTATCATTAAGCTGTGTTCCTAGTCCTTACCATCTTATTGTTTTTTTTTTCCCCTTCATATCCCTTCTATTTTTAAAATTCTTCTGTTTCATAGCATCACTGAAATGGCTTAAATTAGAAGATGTCAGTGGAGCAAGTACAAATCATATTTCTCTAAACTCAGGTTCATGAGAAATGTTTCATGCATTTGTTATTCTTTGGAACTCCTAGTCTACCAGGATGGTGGACATTTAATCTCAGTCAGCTGAGGTCCATTTTTCTTCTGAAGAAGGACCAAGGTAGAGGAGAACATGTATCTGGTCCTTGTTGTCTTTATTTATTTATTTTTTTGTGGTGCTGGGAGTAGAACCCAGGGCTTTGTGCATGTTAGGCAAGAATTCTACTACTCAGCTGATTGGTTGTGGAAACCCCCCGCGCTTTTTATTTTTTATTTTGAGATAGGGTCTTGGTAAATTGCCCTTTTTATTTTTTATTTTGAGATAGGGTCTTGGTAAATTGCTGAGGATAACCTTGAATTTTTAATCCTCCTGCCTCAGCCTCTTGGGTAGTTGGAAATACCATTGGTATGTTCCACTGCATCTGGCCTTGGCCTGTGGTATCTTTACTACAAGTTGGTATCTACTGAGACATTTACTGACTGATTCTGGATAAGTTATTTCATCTCTCTGTATTTTAGTTTTCGCTTCTACAAAACTGCTTTAATAATACTAGAGCTGGGAATGGGGGTGAGTACCTATAGTCCTCGCTACCCAGGAGGCTGAGGCAAGAGGATTCTCTAAGCCTAGGAATTTGAGGCCAACCTGGACAGCACAGAGACCCTTTCTCAAAAAAATAATGTTTCAGTGATCATGATGAATAGTGAATAAGATAATCTGTGTAAAGTACATAGTTTACTTATAAATTAATTAATTAAACTAGTGTTTTCTGAACATCTAAGTTCAAGGCATTGTTCTAATCAGTGTGTGTGTGTGGTCCGTGGTGAATTTTCTCTCTTTTTGTTTTGTTTTTTGAGACATGGTTTCACTACATGGTTCAGGGTAGCCTTGGACTCACTATGTAGCCCAGAATGGCCTGGAATTCATGGTGATCCTGCCTCAGCCTCTTGTGTGCTGGGATTATAGGTGTGTACCGCTCCTCATTCTCTTCTTCCTGCTCTTCCTCCTCTTTTTTCTGGAACTGTCTGTGGAACCCTGGTATACTCTACCACTAGGGTACATCTCTACCTCTTTTAAATATTCTTTTTTTTTTTTTAAATTTTGAGACAGGGTCCCACTAAGTTGCCCAGGTAGGGATCAAACTTGCCTCTCCTCTGCCTCAGCCTCCCTCAGTGCTGGGATTACAGGTGTGCAGTACCCTGCCTGCCTGAGTTCTGTCCTCCTCAGCTACCCTCAGGGGTAGAGCATAGCTTCTGGCTTTTCTGGTTTTCTGGTTCTCAGTCACTGTAACACCTGGGCTACCCAAAGGACACACCAGGCTGTCAGCGTGGCCTTTCCTGTCTGGATGTGTCTCTGTCAACTTCCCTGCTGTTTTTGGGTGCAGGGGTCTTTTAGCTCCTCCTGCTTTATTTTGGGCTATACCACACTGTGAGAGCACTGGGGTGCAGCTCAGTGGTAGAGCTCTTGTGTAGCATGTGCAAGACCCTGGGTTCCATTCCCGGAACCAAAAAACAACCAACCAACCAACCAACCAACCAACCAGCCAACCAAAACAAAACAAAAACCTCACAAAAAATCACCATGAAACTATCAAGGCTCCATTCATTTTGATGTACTACACAGGCAAACAGGCCTCACCTCTCTCTGGTTTCTAATATCTTCTGGGGCTTTAAGTAGGAAATAGTGCCTAGATTGCTTCTGCTTTTTAGAGTTCCCAAATCTGTGTGTGTGTGTGTGAGTGTGTGTGTGTGTGTGTGTGTGTGTGTGTGTTTGCCATACCTTGAGGCTCACCGGGGACACTGTTGGGGTTCCTCTTTCTTCAGCCCACCATGTCTGCACGCTCACAGTTTCCTTCCGATGCTGTTTCTGCTCCCCACATCCTGAATAGCCTTTCTCAGCTGGTCTGAGTGTGTGCATGTGTGATTTGCATAGAGTAAGAGGCGTTAGGGTCGTGTTTTGACAGATGTAGCTATGAACCCAACCAAGGTTCATAATGTTTCCTCCTCCCTGGAAAGTCCTCCCATGCTCCTTTCCTAGTGAAACCTCCTTACCACGTGCCACCACCACTATGATTTCCTTTACCACTATAAATTAATTTGCCTGGACAGACGTATAGAAGTTGCTTTTCAGCCCTTTTATTTGTATTTAGGTTTGTTTTATTGCTTGATATGTCCTCTATACTAGAGGATGTTCCCTGTACATTTGAAATGAATTTGTATTTTATTGTTTTTTTGTTTGTTTGTTTTGTTTCCAGTGCCGGGAATCAAGCTCACGACCTTGCGCTTGCCAGGCAGGTGCTGTGCCACTGAGCTAAATCCCCAGCCCCCTGGTTTTGTCTTTTTGAGGCAGGGTCTCACTATGGAGTTCAGGCTGGGTTTAAACTCACCTTGTAGCCCAGGCTGGCCTCGAATACACAGCAATCCTCCTGCCTCAGCCTCCTGAGTGCTGGGATTACAGATGCATGCCACCACACCCGGCCTGGGAGAAGTTGCTTTTAAACATATTTTTCCCCTAGTCTTTTTTTTTTTTCTCCAGTACTGGAGACTGAACCCAGGGCCTCACACTGACCTACATCCCTAGTCTCTTTTTTCTTTTGAGACAGGGTCTTGCTAAGTTGCTTTTAACCATATTTTCTCCCCAATCTTTTTTTTTTTTTTTTTTTCAGTACCAGAGGTTGAACCCAGAGTCTTTGCACTGAGCTCTATCCCCAGCCCTTTTTATATTTTTATTTTGAGACAGGTTCCTTCTCAGTTGCTAAGTTGCCCATGCTGGGCTCAGACTTGTGATCCTCCTGCCTCAGCCTCTCATACAGGTGTGTGCCACCATGCCCACCTCAGTCTTTTGTTTTTGACACAAATCTTTTCTCTGCTTCCAAAAGCCTGAGTATTTGTTATGCCCTGGCCAGGAAGCCCCCTTCCCTTCTGCTTTTGTTTTCCCTTCACTTAAAAAAATTCCATGAAACCCTTAGCTGTGTAGATGCAGATTAAGGATGTAGAGTGGGTCAGAATACCAGGCAAAGCAACAATGCCCCATGAGTTACTATGGCTAAAAATGTTACTGCAAGTAATAATGTTAAATGTTAAGATGTCCCAGCACCTGCTGTATGCTGGTCACTGTTCTGCACACTTTCAGTTTATTACACATTTAATCTGCAGATCAACTCCTAACTACCTAGGAGGAAGCTGCTGTTACAAATGAAAACGCTGAGACAGGATGTGTATTGGTTGATTTTCAGTTATTGTAACAAAATACCCAAGGTTGTGTACTTTATAAAGAGAGGAGGTTTATTTATTTTAAAAAATTTAAATATTTCTTTCTTTCTTTTATTTTTTGAGAGGGCCTCACTATACAGTTCAGCTGGCCTTGAACTCATTGTATATCCCAGGCTGGTCTTAAACTTGTGGTGATCCTCCTGCCTGAGCCTCTCAGGTGCTGGGATTATAGGTGTGTGCCACCACATGTGAGATTTTTAAATTAAAAACATTTTTTGTTTGTTGCAGTACTAGGGATTGAACCCGCAGCCTTCACACTGAGCAGCATCACAGTCCCTGCCGGTCCTCCCCTTTTAAATTTTGAGACAGAGTTTCACTAAGTTGCTCCCTCTGGGCTCTACCTTGCGATCCTGCTGCCTAATAATGGAATGCTATTATTACAGGCATGTGTCACCTCACCTGACTAGAAAAGAGGTTTATTTAGCTCTTTATTTGGGAGGTTGAAAGTCCACACTGTGAGGTGCCAGCTCTGGTGCGGATCCTCCTGGCGGCGTCGTCATGATGGCGATGAGAGTGTGACAGGGAACAATCACATGGCAAGACAGGAGGCCAGAGACCGAGCAGGGCAGCCACTCTGGGAATCAGATCACTCCCTGGGAGCAGCCCGGGCCTCTAGTGACCCAAGCACCAGCCCTTGAGACCGCTCTTAAAGGCCGGAAACCACGCCCACATCCAGCGGCATGCTCGCGGTGCTGCTGCGTGGGAAAGTTGAAGGACAAAACTTGCGGGGAGGTCGTGAGCCAGCTGCGCAGCCCGCGGAGGCTTGGAAGGGGCTGGGGCAGCATCTACAAGCCCTGTCTGTGTGGGTCCGTGTGAGGGTGGGCGCTCATCCTGTGGGCGCCGTGATGGCTACATGGAGTTTGTATTTGCAGAATTTTGTGGCCACGGCTCACGGCTCTTCGCGGACTTACTGGCTGGGGCTGAATGATAAAGAGCGAGAAGGGGACTGGAGGTGGCTGGATGGCTCTCCTGTCACGTTAAGGCAAGTATCCGGGGTCCTGTGGTCTCTGCGTACTCCAGGGACTCAGCCGTGGGGAGGCAAGAAGGCAGCGGGGTGTGTGGTTGCGGGAGTCAGGACTGGTTTTTTCTCTCCTCTCCCGCCCTCCTCTTCCCTCGTCCCTCCCCTTTCTTTCTCTCCTTTCCTTTCTTTCTTCCTCTTCGTCTTTCTTCCTTCCTCTCCCTTCCCTTTCCTTCCTTTTCCCTCCCTCCCTTTCCTTTTCTTCCCCTTCCTCCCTGCTTCCTCCTCCCTCCTTCCCTCCCTCCCTCCCTTCCTTCCTTCTTTTCCTTTCCTTTTTTTTTGGTGGTACTTGGGGTTGAACCCAGAGCCTTCATACTGAGTGAACTCCCCAACTGTTTTTTAATTTTTTATTTTGAAACCAGGTCTCGCTAAGTCACAAAATTGCCCAGGCTGGTCTTGACTTTGCAGTCCTCTTGCTTCAGCCTCCCAGAATGCTGGGATTATAGGCATGAGCCATCACATTTGGCTTCTTTTTTTTTTCTTTGTGGTGTCGGGGCATTGTGTGTGGTGGGCAAGGGCCCCACTACTGAGCTGCATTCCCAGCCTTTTAATTTTTTTATTTTGGGGCAAGGTCTTGCTAAGTAGCTCAGGCTGGGCTCAAACTTACAATCCTACTGCTTCAGCCTTTCCAGTAGCTGAAGTTACAGGCATAGATCTTCATGCCTATTTAGATTTCCATCTTTTTTTTTTTTTTTTTGGTGGATGCATTATTATTAACGGAAGTCCCCAGTTCACTCTTTGCGTTGTATTTTGACAAGTGCATAACGGCATATAGTTGCCAGTCCAGAAAAATCCCTTGTGCTCCCTTTGTTTATCTTCCTTTCCCACTGCTTCCTCCACCCAGCTTCTGGGAGCCGCAGGAACCCAACAACAACCTGGGAGAAGACTGCGCCAGTATGAATAAAGGCGGCACCTGGAACGATCTCTCCTGCACCAAAACCACGTATTGGATTTGTGAGCGGAAATGTTCCTGCTGAACCGGCTCTTGGAGGGGAGCCTCCTGCCCTGTCATGATAGGCTCTGCCTCTTGGCGAACTCACACGGATGTGTAGCGGGTGGCGGCCTGGTTGTAGCACGTTCTCAGTGACGCCAGCCAGGCCATCCGCTTCAGAAGGACGGTGAGCTGGAGGCCGCTGGGTCTTGGTGGTGTGAGTTGTGGGATATGGAGGACATTCGTCAGATTTTGACGATCATGACTCTTGAGAGGTGACTGATGTGGGTGCTCTGGGTCTCACACTGCATCAGGCTGCCACATTCTGGCTTCTGTGCATCATGACAAGATGGAACTGGAACTGGGCTCCTCTACTGCCCCCTTGATATGGAGCAGCGGCTGGGAAGTGGCTGGGGGTAGAACAACCTGATGACCAATGTTCTCAATGTCTTATGGGACATTTGTACAAGTGAGGTGGCAGAATCATGCCTCTGCCGAGACCTGCCCTGTGGAATATATTTATTTTGTTTGTTTGGTTTTTGTTTTGGACACAGGGTCTCGCTGTGTAGTTCAGGCTGGCCTTGAACTCACTATGTACTTCTGGCTGGCCTTGAACACACGGCTATCCTTTTCTCAGCCTCTCGAGTGCTGGATTTACCGGCATGTACCACGACGCCTGTGGAATTTCGAGAAAGGCAGATCAGCTGAAAAGCAAGACTTCCACATGGTAGAGCTGGCCCATGCCGTGACTGGGTCAGGTCCACAGGACAGGGATGGAGATTCCTGCCTACATGTGCACCTGAGCTGTGTTGTACACTGTAAAATGTTTGATGTTACCACTTCACATCTGTGTGGACTTTTTGTGGCTGTTCGCTCTTGCAGTGTTAGTGCTTCTCAAATGTCACTTCCTTGTGTGGTGCTGGCCACTGTGTCAATTTTGTAGGGCTGCCACTTTTTTTTTTTTTTTTTTTTTGGTGATGCTGGGGATTGAACCCAATTCCTTTGCACTGAGCTCCATATCCAACCCCCAACCTTTATTTTGAAAGAGGGTCTCACTAAGTCACTAACTTGCTCAGATTGGGCTTGGACTTGCAATCCTCCCCCCAGAGGTCTAGGACTATAAGTGTGTGCCACAATACCTGGCTCTCAGTTAGCTGTTTAGAGACCCTATCTCCGAATGTGCATTTGGAGGTACCAAGGGTGAAGACTTTAATGTATATATTTTGATAAGCACAATTCACTCCATAATAGCTAAGGAACTGGAAGCACTAGACACCCCAGCCCTTGATCATTATAACAAACAACAGCAACACACAGAGGGCACGTACCATATCCAGCCGAGCACACACTGCTAGATGTGGTGTTCCCTTTGGACAGTGCCTGAATTTTATCCAAGGATGGATAGACTTTCCCCAAATGGGCCTATTTATTAATAAGTAGATTATTATTTTTTTCTGGTACTGGGAATCGAACTCATGACCTCACTCTTGCCAGGCAGGTGCTGTGCCGCTGAGCTAAATCCCCAGCCCCAATTTATTAATAAGTATCCTTAACGAATAGCAGAATCTTTCCTGTTTTGAGGTGACGATGGAAAGGAGGCCTGACTATCACAGAGGAAGCTGTGGGGGCTGTTGGGGTCACATCACTTGCTATTCCCTCTATTTTTATCTCCTCCCACCTCTATGTTTGTCCCGATGTCATTATGACCCCAAAAGCTCCCCATGCAGTCCACAGCCTGTGGAGTGCCTGGGGTCCTATTCTAGGCCCTTCCCCAGGGACTGCTGGTCCTGACAAGTGTTTATCTTGGGTCAGGGGAAGTTCCCACATCTCAGAAGGGGAAACTTTCATTTTCTCAAAAATAAGTGTTGAGAAATGAGGAAGCGGGGGGCTGTGGTCAGGCTTCTGAGTCACCCCGGGGGCTATGGCAGTGTTGGCGCTGACGTATCACCTTCTACGTCTCTCCCCATTGTCTGATTGCAGACAGGTAACTGTGAAGCATCCCTTTACCAGTTAGGGCCCAGAGGACGCCGTAGGTGGATACAAATAGTAATAGCCATGTGTTATGTGCTAGATAAATGGTGTGATTCTTATTTAACCTTTGCCGGGACTTTGTGAGGTTCAAAGAAATTACTAACCCTATTTTACACCTGGGAAAATGGAGGCCCAGAGGGTCCTTGTGGCCTGTCTGCTGACATTTTGTGGATAAATGACACAGGCTTTGCGCTGTCTGTGCCTTGAGTGATTGGTTTCTTTGTGCAGCATCTGCTGCCTTTTAAGGGATTGTCTGTAAATTTGAATTTGCCCAAGTTCTCTGATCTTGAAGCTCTGCCCCAGTTGGTTATTTTAGGAAGGAAACAGGGTTACGTGGTTGGAAATAGGCATCATGGGCTGAGAAAGGAGACCAGGAGCTGAGATCTGAGTCTGTTGCGGAATTTCTTTGTGGTTTTTCTGGGGCTATGACCAGTACAGGTGAAAGATTATGAGGACTAATGTGAAGGAGCTGGGTGGGGTGGCTCACGCCTGTACTCCCAGTACTTGAGAAGCTGAGGCAGGAGGACCACTGCAAGGTCAAGGTCAATCTGGGACTACAAAATGAGTTTAAGGCCAGCCTGAACTACATAATGAGATCCCTTCTCAAACAAACAAACAAAAGCAACAAAAAACAAACAAATGGACCAACCAACCAACCAACCAAAGTAAAGGCTTGGAGAATTCTGGACCTATTTCCAAGAGATGGCTATTGGATTTGCTGGTGAATTAGATGGAAGGTGTGACAGAAAAAGAAGAAACAGTAGAAAGATGGAATTATCAGAGATGGGGGAGAAAAATGATGTCCAAATACCTTCTCCATTTACATGGTTCAGCTGGGTGTGGTGGTGCACACCTGGAACTTCAGCATTCTGGGAGGCTGAGGCAGGAGGACCATGAGTTCAAGCCCAGTCTGGGCAATTTAGGAAGACCTTGTCTCAAAGTAAAAGGTGAACAAGAGCTGGGGATATATCTCAGTGTGAGGCCCTGGGTTCCATCCCTAGTACTGAAAACAATTATTTATTTATTTATTCATTTCTTCTTGAGACAAGGTTTCAGTATGCAGTTCAGGCTGACCTTGAACTCACTTTGTAGCCCAGGCTGACCTCAAACTCAAAGCAATCCTCCTGCCTCAGCTTCTTGAATGCTGGGATTACAGGTGTTGTACATAAGATGAAGAAAGGAAAAACATATCTGTTTATCAGGTGCAACATGTTTTAAAATATGTGTACATTGTGTGAAGGCTGAACAGATAATGAACATGTGCATTAACTCACATACTTTTCTTTGTGATGGGAAGACTAAAAATGAGCAACTTTCAAATCCTTGTACAATACATGTTCATTAACCACAGCCAGCATTTTGTACACTAGATCTCTTGATGTGCACCTCTTGTCTGGCTGAAATTGTGTATCATTTCATCAAACCGCCCAACCCACATTCTAGCATCTGGTGACATCATTCTACTCTTTTTAAAAAATTAATTTTATTGGCACACTTTAGATATGCATAATTATACCATTCATCACCTGTCCGTGGTATAACTTGATTCTTCTTTTTTCCCAAGTCCCCTCTCTTCTCTTCAACCCCTCTTCCTTTCCTTATTTACAAAATCTTCATTTCCATTTTCTCCTTTTATTCTCTTTTTTCTCGTTCTCCATCCTACTTGAACATTTTCTTTCTACTTCACCATCTCTAATATACATTTTGGTCTTTATTTACCCCTCCAGTTTCTCTCTACAGAGAAACAATGCAATATTTAAATACGTGTGTCTGATTTATTTCACTTAAGAGTATGGTCTCAGGGTGTGTCCACTTACCTAGAAATGTCTCAGTCTTATTCTTCTTTATGGCAGAGTAGTACTCCATTACATAAAAGACCACATCTCTTTCCATACATCAGCTGATGGACATTTGAGCTGTTTCCAAGCTTTAGCTGTTATGAGCTGTGCCGCTATAAACATGGGTGTGCATGTATCACTGGTATGATGCTATTAATTTTTTCAGGGACATACCAAGAAGGGGGACAGCTGGGTCAAGTGGAACCTCTAGTTTTAGTTCTTCCCCCACCCCCGAGTTTTCCCTCACTGGTTATGTTTTATTTTATATCCAAAGTTTAAAAATAGTTTCAGTTATACTCAAAGTAATAGGTGGATATTAATCTTTACCCCGAGGGCAGATAACTGGCAGGTGTGTAAAAGAAACGTAAAATAAAGATTTTTCCATGAGAAATAAGTTACACCAAGAATACTGTATCACTACAAATTTTATTCAGAAACCCGCGTTTGTGGTTTTATTATTTTTTTTAAGTTCCCATTATGAACTTGTTTGGTCAGTCAGCTACAACACGCTCTAGCAGGCTTACGGTAAAAACGGGGCGGCTCAGCATCGCCCCGACCTCCCTTTCCCGACCTCCACCGCCTCGGGTCTCACCACGACCGCGGTCTCTGGACCCGCAGTGCGGCTCCCGGCGGACCCCGACCTCTGACTCTTGGCAGGCGCCCGTGTAGCTCGCCGAAGCTCTCTGGAAACCGCTTCAGGGGCACAAAGCTGCAGAGCCTCTCGCGGGCGCCCCCTACCTCTCGCTGAGGGCAGCAAACTTCCCCGAGGTGGCTCACCGGCACGAACCCGCTGTCCAGCAAACCAGCGGCGGCCCGGGTGGATCACAGCCTTCTCCGCATCCTCCTCTCGGGGACCTCGACGGCCACGTTCCCCGCGAAGCGGTCTCCCAGCCTGTCGCCGTTCTCAGGGTCCGCTGCTCTGCCGCACTGTGCGTTTCTGCACCGCGGCCTCGGGGCCGCCGGGAGTCACCGCGGTCCGCAGATCCGAGCCGCCGCTCCAGCTCCGGGCGGGAAAAGCACCGCCAGCCACCCCGCTTGTCTGCGTTGAGGTTCCTCTCTTTGCTCCCCGCGTGGTCTCCAGCTCTCACCTCAGGTTCTTGTTGGGTCCCTGGAACCCACTTCCCTTCTCCTTCTCTTCCTCACCGTGCTACATTCCGGCGTCTGGACTCAAATCTCAGACAGGCTGTTTACCTGTTTCTCATCACTGCCGTCTTCCAGAAGTCTCTCTACTCTTGGCTTCTGCGCGAAACTTCTGATGTTCTTACTTCATTAGTGTTTGACGTTGTCCCTCTGTTCCAGCAGCTCTATGCTGCTAGATGTCAAGTGTATCGGCTTGTTCTCATTTCAGCTGCTGGGGCCTCTCTCATCCTACCCCGTTCCTTTGGGGCTCAGAGGTACGGTTGAGAGCTCTGAGCCCCGGTCTTCCTCAAGATAGAGGGAGACGGAGCCTCCATCCCAGTGGGTCCGCATAAGTACCGGGTGGGTGTGCGTGTGCGGGAGGCAGGTGTCTCCCTGCTTCTCAGTATCTTCATTTTCTCCTAGATTCAGAAGCAGAGATCTTCTTGGGGTTCTTGGGGGCCAAGGGAGACACACACACACACACACACACACACACACACACACACACACACACACAATATTGATTTTACTCTAGGAGGTCCACGGTCCCCTGGTCACTTTCAGAGTACATTGTATCTGACTCTTAGCCCAGACCACTCTTCAGCTTATCATAAGAGCACCCTCCCGGTACAGGGGCAACTTTCACCCCCGTATTCCCTTCAAGGACTCCCCCAGAGGCCCAACCGCACTCCCACCCAGGTGCCACAGGTGCCACTGCAGACTTGATTCAAACTGGTAGATATATCAGGGTAGGGAGCAGAGGGGAACCGACTCATGTTCACGGCTCTCTCTCCTCCTCCTCCTCTTCTCCTTCTTTCACCTTCCTCCCCTCCTCCCTCTCCCTCTCCTCCTCCTCTTGCTCCTCCTTCCCCTTCTCCTTCTTCATATTAGGGATTGAATCCAGGGCCTTCATACTGAGGTGCATCGCCAGTCCTTTTGTTTTTTAGATTGAGACAGGGTCTCACTAAGTCACTAAGTTGCCCAGACTGGGCTTGAACTTTTGATCCTCCTGCCTCAGCCTCCCAGAGTGCGGAGATGACAGATATGCACCATCACGCCTGGCTGCATTTTTCTTTCTTTAGCACAGGGGCTGGCAAGCTACATTTCAGGGAGCCAAAACCTCCTTGCAGCCTGTTTTTGATGGAAAGTCATCTAGAAGTGGATTTTACGCTTCTTAAGGGATATGTATGCAAATCTCTTTACATTCGGTCAGCCCTCCATATGCACAGGTTCTGCATCTGTGGATTTAACCATTTGTAGATAAAAGACATTTGGAAAACAGTTAAATATGTGCTGAGTATGTACAGACTTTAAATATAATCTTTTCTCCTAAACAATATAACTGTTTGTATAGCATTTGCATTGCATGGGGAATGATAAATAATCTAGAGATGATTTAAAGCATAAGGTAAGATGCACAAAGGTTCTATGCAATAATGCCCATTTTATAGAGGAGATTTCATCATATGTGTATTTTGGTGTCTGTGGGGATTATAGGAACCAATCCCCTGCAAATATTGAGGCTTGACTGTAACCCTATATGTTGTAGGCAGGGTTGGCAAGGGAGAATGAGTTGGTTAAGGGTTAAGGCCTTGGACTCTCGGTTGGACTCTGGTTTCCCTATTCACTAGTTATGTCCCTGGGCAAGTGTCTTAATCTTTCTGTGCCTCAGTAGCCTCATCTTAAAATCAATTACTATGGAAATGAAGTTAATTAATGTGTATTATATATAAAGCACTTGTGCCGTTCATGGCATGTGACAAGCCAGTTGCCATTATAAAAGTGTGAATTTGTAGAGTATCAAAGAAGGTAGATTCTGATAAAGAATATACATATTTATTTATTTATTTATTTATTTATTTTTTTTGTTTTTTGGTTTTTCTCCGGTACCGGGAACCGAACTCACAACCTTGCGCTTGCCAGGCAGGCGCTTTTGCCGCTGAGCTAAATCCCCAGCCCCAAGAATATACATAGATATATCTTTGTTACAGATTTCATTATTTATTATGAAAATAATACATCCACACAATTGGAAAAAATCAAACAATAAACCTTTTTATCATCCCATATTCTGTCAACATTTTTATTGCATATTTCTCCAGAAAAATCCCAAAAGATAGATGAGTATATGTGCATCTCTTTTCTTTACGCAGTGGAAGTATTACAAACATTGTTCCGTTCGTCATTTTTTTGAGACAGGGTCTCGCTATGTAGTTCTGGCTATCCTTAAATGCACTGTGTAGTCCAGCGTGACCTCAAATTCTCAGCGATCCTCCTGTCTCAGCCTCCCTCAAGTGCTGGGATGACAGGTGTGTGCCACCACATCTGGCTTGTTCTTTGGTTTCCCTGTATAATTTTTCCCCGGGAACTTTTCACAGTTCTAGTTGTGGATCAGTACATTATTTCTGAGAGCACTCCAGCATTCCACCTTGGGAATAAGCACTCCCTGATATGCTACTGCAACAAGACTGTGAGCAACAGCTCTGTAGCCAAACCTTTATGCACATTTGGAGTTTTATGTTTACACTTGATACTTTTTTAAAGGATATTTTTTGGTGATGCTGGGGCTCAAATGAAGTGATGCCTTGTGGGTGGTAGGCAAGTGCCCTGTCACAGGACTGCACTCCCAGCCCAGGATTTTTTTTTTTAGGTAATTTCTAGATTGGTAATTGCTCAGAAAAGAGCAGAGTCCTGGAATGCAAGGGAAACAGAAGCAAAAGACATGAGACAATTGAAGAAAAACTCCAGAAACTCTCTCAGGGGAGATTTGTATCAGTTATCTATTGCTTCCCTTTACCTTTAAACCCAGCAGGGTGACATCCTGTATCCTTTCTGCTTCCTGACCCCCTTGTGATTGTCTGGCCCACCTGGATAATTCAGGATCCTCCTCCTGCTGTAGTCTGCACACTGACTGTCCCAAGGCCCATGTGTTAAAGCCCTGTGGCGCTATTAGGAGGGGTGTGTTGGTTTGGGGGTTACTTTACAAGGGGAAACAATATAATAGTTTATAAGATTATTTATAATAATCACCCAAAGAACGATATACAAGAGAGTGCAGGAAATCTGTCCACACACTAAGACCAAGGAATCTAGCCGAGGGCCTGTATCCCATGGAAATGTCCTGCATGAGTCCTACTGAATACCTAGAGCTCATAACAGTGCCTCCCACGATCCACCTGGAGGCCCAGAGCCCATGACAACGTCTCATGCAGGCCTGTTTCACGGATCTGCGCTGGGAAGGCTCAAAGGTCAGTGGTGGAATCTAGGAAGTCTGTGCCAGCGGGATGAACGATCTGTGCTAGCAGCAGTGAGGTCCTGAGTTCCTCCAATGATCAGGAAAGTTGAGCTCCCATCAGGAAGCCAATGCGACAAGCTTCTTCAGGAGACTGAGCTGTGCACCTTCTTCCCCTCTGGAGCCAGGAAGTGATGCTCAGAGTGAGGACCAGAGCTCCCCAAAAGTGAGCTGAAGCTATTTTCAGTACCAACAAAGTCCTGAGCTCCTTGGGGGATGAAAACAGCCGAGTTCATCAGGAAAGCCAGCATGATGAGCTCCTCCAAAACAACCAACAGTTCCTTTCAGCTTCCACCAGCTCCCAATAGCCTCTCTCAGCTCTCAACAGCCTAACCTCTTCTTCTCCAGCTCTGCCTCTTATGCTGCTGGCAACAACTCCCAGGTGGGCCTCCCACACCCAGCACCACGCTTACTCAGTTCAGCTGGGGGTTATAAGTTGACCACCACTTATCAATCCACTACAAGGGGCAAGAACTTTTAGAGGTGGGAGCTCTAGGGAGGGAGTTAGGCCCCAAGAGGGGTGCCCACGAGGGTTATTGTGACTCCTTCCCCTTATTCTCTCTCCTTGCCTCCTGGCTGCCATGAGATGAGCCCCTAACCTCCTCAGCCCTCTGCTCCACCATCATGTCCTGGCCTGCCACAGGCCCCAAGCAACATGGCCAAAAGACCACGGATAAAAACCTTTGCAACTGTGAGCCAAAATAAATCTTTCCTTCTTTAAGGTGTTTATCTCATGTATTTTCTAGAGTGATGGAAAACTAGCAAACTCCCCACCGCAAGATCTTTAAATTACTCAACATCTGTGAAGACCCCTTTACCATGTAAAGTAACATATCCACAGGTTCCAGGGATTGGGATGTGGATATCTTTGGTGGGGGACATTATTCATCCTCCTGTACTCTCACCTCCCCCTAAAGAAGTACCATGCCTAATTTGTGATCAGTCATTTAAGGGATTGCACTCACAGGACATTTTGAATATTTCTGTTCTTCCGATAAATATATTCTTAGCTATGCTATTGCTATGATTTGTGTCTTTCTATCTATTTATTTATTTATTTATTTATTTATTTATTTATTTATCTGGTTGGGACAGGGTTTCCCTATGCAGTTCAGGCTGGCCTTGAGCTCACTTTTGTAGCCCAGGCTGGCCTCGAACTTGGAACTCTCCTCCTGCCTCAGCCTCCCAAGTGCTGGGATTATAGGTGTGTGCCACCACACCTGGTTTTTTTTTTTTTTAAAGGAGAAAAGATTTATTTAGATCACAGTTTGTAGAGATTTCAGTCCACAATTGGCTGGCTCCAAGGCAGGGTGGCACATGGCAGAGGGGCAACAGCTGATGGTAGCAGAAGACAGCAGAAGCAACAAGAGAGCTAGGATTTAGATCTTAAGGATTCCCAAAGGCTCACTTGAGAGAAGTCTTGGCCTCTAGCTGATGGTGAGGTAGGACCTGGTGGAATCTTTAAGAGGCAGGGCCTAGGGGAAGGAAGTGAGGTCCCTGAGGCCTGCCCTTGAAGGGTATTTTGAGACGCTGTCCTCCTCTCTCTTTGCTTTCTGACTGTCATGAGGTGAGCCGCTTTGCTCTACCACCTGTTCTCTCTTGCTACAAGACTAAAGCAACAGGACCAAACAACCATACATATTGTTGCAGCGAATGCAAGAAGGGAATATGTAAAATGCAGTTTGGCAGAAAGTTACTCCAGAAATGATAGCTGTTTCGATTATTCTTTGGAGTAGAAACCTATTTTAATTCCTGATTCCTCATTTCATTGGACATGCTAGGTCTATCCAATGATGTGGGAAGGGAATTCGTGGGTAGCTGACCTTCACCAATCATCCATCTCAGAAGTTTGCAGGACTCTGCCTCTAGGTGTCAAAGAGCGGAGAACATCTTATTTGGGCCATCTCTCACATTTGGTTCCACAGACATATGCTAAGCACCTCTTATTTGTAAGCTGATGTACCAGAGGCTGCAGAGGTGAGGGGGACAGGGCGTTTTTCTCTCCAGTAGCTGATGTTATTTTGATAGACTTGATGGTCCATCATTTGGATGGTCCATCCAGGCAGGAGCTTTTTTTTTTTGTACCAGGAATCGAACTCAGGACCTTGTGTTTGCCAGGCAAGCGCTTGTACTGCTGGGCTCTCTCTCTGGGTCTTGGATGGTCCATCCAAAACAAAAGAGCTGCACAGCTTTGAGCACGTAACATAGCCTCACTCTAATGCCGTTTCTTGCCTGTAATGTGGAGATGTTGTGCATTAACGAATGTAAAGCCATTTTAGCTAAACTCAATGTTTAATAAAAACAAGCTTTGACTGAATTGTGGCTGTTGATATTGTTACCTGACCTGGAGTTGGAAGGATGGATGGGATTTAAAAGTTGGGAAACAGGGGCTGGGGATTTAGCTCAGCGGCAAAAGCGCCTGCCTGGCAAGCGCAAGGTCGTGAGTTCAGTTCCCGGTACCGGAAAAAAACCAAAAAAAAAAAAAAAAAAAAAAGTTGGGAAACCACCTTAAAAGGCAGGAAGTCACAGGTAGTGATTGAAACCATGGAATCAAGATTCCTACAGGGAGAGGGAGTAGAAAATCAGAGGACTCCATCCAGAGTCCTGTGGGAGAAGTATGATAGCAAAGATCTGGGGCCACATGACTGGGGCCTGAACCTTCTGTCTCTGCAGTTTACAAGTAACGTGGCCTCTGACAGGTGCTATAACCTTTCTGTGCCCGGTTTTCTCATCTGTAGTAATACCAACCTCATGGGTATACAGGGAAGATTTTTCATTTTATGATGTGGTTATACTCTAGTAAACCGATCATAGGTTGAAAATATCATTAAGTTGAAACTATATTTAAGCAGATATGGTGCTGCGCATTTGTAATCCCAGCTGTTTGGGAGGCTGAAGCAGGGGGATCACAAGTTCTAGGCCAGGCTGGGCAATTTAGAAAGAACCTGTGTCAGAACAAATTTTTTTGTTTGTTTGTTTGTTTTTCTGGTACCGGGAATCAAACTCACGACCTCACGCTTGCCAGGCAGGGCGCTGTGCCGCTGAGCTAAATCCCTAGCCCCAGAACAAATTAAAAATGGCTGAGGAGGTAGCTCAGTGGTAGAGTACTTACCTGGCATTCATGAAGCCCTGGGTTTACTCTCCTGTACTGTAAATAAATACAAGTAAAATTAAAATATATTTAATACACTCAACATACTGAATAGGATGTCTATCTTAAACACACTCAGAACATTTCCATTAGCCTCGTTGGGCAAAATCATCGAATACAAAACCAATTTATTATTATAAAATGTGTAATATCTTACGTAATTTATTCAATACCATACCAAAAATGGAAAGCAGAATAGTTGTCTGGGTATGCTTTCTCACCACGATAAAGTTGAGAAATTTTAAGTAGAACCATCCTAAGTTGGGAGCCATCTGTACCTGTGTTACCAGCCGCTTAGGGCCATATGCCCAGTTCTGTTTGTCATTTTCCAGATGAAAGGAGAACATTTATTTTGGTGAAAAGGAAGAATTTATTAAAAGGTAGCTCCGAGGAGATGGAGGGACATGTTTGCCTGCAATCACATCTCCGCACGCATGGGTGTGTAAGCGTCTTACATGGTAAGGGAAAGTGGGGAGGGGACACCTGAGAAATAATGCACAGTTCCATGTTTGCTTTATTGCTCTCAGCCATCTGTAGCTGAGTCTGTCCCTTCTGTTGTGGCATATTCTATCACTTCATCTAGGGTGTTGGTTACGCACTCAGTAGAAAGAAGATTAGAAAAGTCACTTAGCTCTAAAATGAAAATATCTAAATTTTATAGTTCCATTTTGTTCTGGCAGTTATATGTGTATGGTGCGTGATGAGCTCTCAAAAGTATCGGTCATGGTTATGATGACAATTCTTGGCCCAGGAAGAGGAGAAAGGAGGAGAAAAGAACAACATGAGAGGAAGGAAAAAGAATGAGGGCGGCGCTAGTTCAAACAAGTTACCAAGGTGGAGAGGATGTCAGAAAACAGAACTGCGGAAGAGGAAGATAAACAATCCCATTGGGTCTGGACTGTAAGGAAACTATGAAGGGATGTTTGAGAGCATAATCTGAATGCGGTGGTGAAGAAGGAAGCACAAGCTAAAGGAAAAAGGAGAGAAAAAAATAGGAGAGGGGTAAAGACCTAGTTACCTGTTGAACCACGTAGCCCTCTGGGGGTAGCATGCAGAGGTATGCCATGGTCCTTACATCCTGTGGTGCGTAACGGCGGTCAGCTTTGGAAGCTTCTTTCTGAGATTTCACCATCTACCTCCCTTGCTCAAGAAAGCTTATGATAACTGACACATGCATCTTAGGCTAACTAACCTAGGACACTGCTTTCCAAAAGGGAACTTCTTCTGCTCTTGCACCATTGGACTCAGGCTTCTGCTTTAAAATATATGCTGTGATGCATGATAATTACATTCATCTTGGATGTTTCTGCTTTTTAATTTAATTTAATTTAACTTAATTTTTGAAGTGCTGGGGATGGAACCCAGGGGCTTGTGCATGCTAGAAAAGTGCTCCACTGCAGAGCAGCAATCTCAGGCTTGTTTATTTTCTATACCTTTTCTGCTCTTGTTTTTCTATGCTTCCTTGGAAGTGGGTTTTCCTATTGTTTATCACCTTTGGGATGAAAGAATTGTTTGATTCTGGTATAGAAATGTTGTGGGTTACATCACATTGCCTGAGGATCAAAAAGTGCTTTTTGGTTCAAAGGAAATCTTAAACAAATGGCTGGGAGTGTAGCAGAGTGGAACAGCACTTGCCTAGCACTGCAAAACAAAATAAAACAAACAAAATGACAAAGCAACCTAAACTAAACTAAACTAAACTAAACTAAACTAAACTAAACTAAACCAAACCAAACCAAACCAGTCTGTGATTTTGAGCAGGGAAGACCAGAATTTAGGGTATTTGCATTGGTATCTAAGATCTTTAGTGAGCCCTTTTCAGAAATCTAAGGATTCTCCTGCCCAGCAAATGACATTCACCAGTTCTTACTGCAGTTTCAAAGTCTGGGAGAGGGCGATCTACTATTTGGTCATTAGGTCACAATCCAGACCAATTCCAGGAGTTGGGAGAAATATTCTCTGTCTTTTCCTCCTCCAATAAATATTTATGAGCCAGTCATGGTGGCAGGTGCCTATCATCCCAGCTACTCAGGAAGCTGTGGCAGGAAGATCACTGGACTCTGGGAATTTAAGGCCAGTCTGGGTAACAGCATAAGACCTCGTCTAAAAAAAAATTAGTATTATTCAGTGACCTCTGTTACCTTCTAGGGATAGAGCAGAGAACAAAATAGATACAATCCTTTAAAAAAACTTTTTTTTGAGATAGGGTCTTGCTATGTAGGTCAGGGTGGCCTTGAACTCACTTTGTAACCCAGGCTGACCTTGAACTCACAGTGATCTTCTTCCCTCAGTCTCCGAGTGCTGGGATTACAGGCATGTGCCATGACACCTGGCTAAAATTTTTAAATTAACATATACTATAATTCATAATAATGGTGTTCAGTGAGATATTTCTATACATACAAACTGTTCATGGATCAAATTGAATCACCTTTTTCCAGCCTCCCTCCTCCCACACCTGCACTACCTTTGCAATCCTTGGCAGTCACTATTCTACTTTCAAGTCAACTTTCTAAAAACATTTCTACATATGAGAAAGAACATGTGGCACTTGTCTTTCTGCAGACACATTCTCTCCTGTGTAGAGTGTGGAGTGAGAAGGCAGGTCATGGGAGAAGGTAGCTCATACAAAGCCAGGACACTTCCTAGTCCAGTCTTAACGAAGTGATGTTTCTTGGACATCCAACAAGCCAAGAAACAGCACTCAAGAAATACAGTAAACAAAAAACCATTACCAAAGTAACAAAAAACATAACTGAAGAATGCCACTCACAATATACAAGAAAAGGTCTTGAGGTTCTTTCTTGTCTCCTATGTATGAAGCTACCTCCTAAACTGTTTCTCTCTCCTCTGAGTCATGTTGATTAAGAGTTTGGGAAATAGTAACAGCACTGGATTTTTTTCTTGCGGTGCTGAGGATTGAAACAAGGGCTGTGAGAGGACCAGCAAATACTTCACCACTGAGCTGCTAGATGTTTTTTAAGCAAGTGTGGTATCCTAGTCCATTTTCTGTTGCTGTCATAGAATAACCGAGACTGGGAAATTTATAAATAATCAAGGTTTATTGAGCTTCTGATTCTGGAGGCTGGGAGGTCCGAGGAGTTGGAGGGCCACTTTTAATGAGGATCTCCTTCCTACTGAGGACTGTGCAGAACTACAAGTTGGCACAGGGCATCATATGGCAAGAGGGGTATGTACAAGAGACAAACTCTGTCTGGCTCATAGAACAGACCCAGTCTCGACATCTGACCATCATGGAGTAATCCATTCATGTGACAGATCTTTCATGATCTAATTACCTCTAAAAGGACCCACCTGGTTATATCTCTTACTATTTCATGATAAGGATCACATTCCAATGTGAGCTTTGGTGAGGACATTCATAGCACACGGTGGAAGGATTAGCTTGTGTTTTGGATGTTTTTATGGACTGGAGGAGGCAGGAGTGGGTGTTAGGAACCAGTTCAGACAACAATCTAAGCAGATCTAAGACAGTCTTGCAACATCTTCTAACTGCTTACAACACTTCTCAGCCAAGCAGCCTGAACTATTTTTCAAAACAAGTCATACTTTATCACGGGGGGCGGGGTAAAGTTTGGGGTGTACGTGATTTGTTGCAGGATAGTGAGGACTGAGACATGTGAATTGTTGGAGGACAGTGAGGGTTGGATGCACGTGGTTTGTTGGGGGCACTCTCAGAAGAGTGGACTGAAGGATTACGATAGGGCAAGAGGATGAGCTATATAAGGAGGTACCTCAAAAGGAGTTCAGACTCAGCCTCATCACATGGAGTTCTGGAACTTGTACCATGAGGTTGATCCACCCTGAGACAAAGCATTTATGTGGGCTCCCGAGTAGCCAGTCACTGGCTGTGGTCTGCCGCGGGTTGAAGTTCAGACCTAACCTGCAAAATATATCTATACCAGGTAAGGAGATCTGGCTACCCATAGCATCTGTTGCATTGTTAAAATCTTTCTCCGGTAGCTGCATGCAGTGGCACGTGCCTACAATCCTAGCACTGTTGGAGGCTGAGACAGGAAGATCGTAAGTTTGAGCCCTGCCTGGGCAACGTAGTGAGACCCTACCTCAAAATAAAAAATAAAAAAGGACTGGGGATGTAGATCAATGTGAAGGCCTTGGGTTCAATCTCCAGTACTGGAAACAAAACAAAACAAAACAAAGCAAAACAAGACTTTCTCTGGGTTAGGATTACTCAGTGCCTCAAATGTGGCCACACAGAACATGAATATCACTTCCTCTTTAAGGTTCTCAAAATGACAGTAATTTCCTATAAGCCATGTTGCATCATCAGATGATAAAGATGGGGTTGAGTAGCTTTCCCATAATTAAAAAAAATATTTAAAAAATTTTATTTATTGAAGAACTGGGGAACTGAACCTAGAGTCCTTGCACTGAGCTACAGCCCCATCTCCAGGGTCTTGCTAAATCATAAAATTTCCCAGGTTGGGCTTGAATTTATAATCCTCCTGCCTCAGACTCCCAGAGGACTGGGATTACAAGTAGTGTTTATTTTTAACTGACAAATAATTACATATTTATATATCTATATGTCTATCTACTTACAGATACATACAGAGAAATTACAATAATTCTGATGTTTATATATATTGTGGAATGGTTATATCAAGCAAGGCTAATTAACATATCCATTACTTCACACATTTTTTAAAATAGTACGATCATTTAAAGTTTACTTTTTAAAGCAATTTTGATATTTACAACACATTATTATTAACTTGTCACTTATTGCCACTTTGCTATGCAATAGATCCTTACAACCTATTTCTTCAGTAATTTATTATGTATTTCAAAATAACTAGACAAGTCCAGTAGCTCTCAACACATTGAAATGATAAATGAGGAGATGGAAATTGTTATTACTCTGGTGATGTCATTACATTATCTCCATGCAACAGTTTATCATACTGTAACCCATAAATATGTGCAAATATTGTAGGTCAACTAAAAATAAAAGGACAGGATCTTCAAAAACAAGAAAGAACAATCTCAGTCCACAATTTATTCTTCCCTTCTCAACAGTCATTAGTCTTTACATCATACTGCCACCTTATGGTAAATTAAGGAATAAAAAACTTGAAGCAATTTCAAACACTGGGTTTAAACCTGAAAGTTTAAATAATTAGGATATGAAGGTTTCAGGCAAATTCTATTAACTAGTTCTCTTCAGTGTCACCTTAAATCTTTTTTTTTTCTTTTTGTAGTACTGGCGAAGGAACCCAGGGCCTCACACGTGTCAGGAAAGTGCTCCACCACTAAGCTACACCATCAATCTTTTTTTTATTTTAGGGAGAACCTAACTGGTAGGCTAGTTATCAGCAGCAAAATACAGCCTCTCTTTGGACCTAGAATCCAGACAACTGGAAAATAACAAATAGAAAAAAAAAAGAAGGGATAACATTATGCAATATAATAACCATTGTTAATTTCATATTATCTTGTTTTGAAAAAAATAATAAAATAAAAAATGAAATACTGTATCATTGTTTTTATTGTTTTTTCTCTTTAAAAAACACAAATAATCACTGAGTTTACAGAAGACACTAAAAAACATAGTTGACAAACAAAATGATACAAAACATGAATGATCAGTTTAGCAAATAATTAGAATCCATAAAAAAGTACCAAACAGAAGTCCAGGACGTTAAAAATTTCTATTGAAGGTATGGGCAGCGGAAGTGACCAATGCAATGACAGTGTCAGAACTAGAGAGAGGGCTGATGTCAGAGATGAATTACTCAGAGACATCTTGAAAACAAGAAGAGAAGAACATGAAAAGTGGACCTAAGAGCTTCTACATTATTCAAAGGAGACTAATCTAAGATGAACTGGAATTAGCAAAAAATCAGAAGACAGTATAAATAGCATAAAAATCCTGTTTACAGAAATGATAGCAGAAAACTTTCCAAATATGGGGGAAATGAGGCATATAGAACCCCAAATAGCCATGATCAAAAAAGATCTCCAGGACACATTATAGTCAAAATCCCAGATGTCAAATATAAGAACAAGAAAAGTTGTTAGAGAAAAGTAACAAATCACGTATAAAGGTAAACCCAGAATTACAGTAGAATTCTCAACACAAACCTTAAAGGCTAGGAGAGCCCTTAAGGCTGGAAGTGTTTCAACCCCAAAAGAAAGCAACTTCCAACCTAGACTCTATAC